ATCAAACCCAGGTGAATATGTTGCCATTTTGCAAAGGTACAAAATATTTAACCTAGATTAAAACTCTAACAAACATCTCAAACAAGTATATTAGAGCATGACAACCACCAAATTATATTCGTACCTTTCCCCCCGCCTCTCATTTTCACGCTTCCTCCTCAAATTGGCATTCCGAGCTTCAAATTCCTCTCTACTCATAGCCGGAGGTGGACCATTCATCCCCATACTGAACTCGGCAAGATCCCTGCACAGTCATAATTATTAAATTACTATATGACATTCTTGAGTAGACAAACAAGCAACCGCGATTACTATTGGTATTCACACTGCAACCCTCAAATCTTCCCCTCAGCATCAATAAGACATAATATCCTGGATTTTGTGTGAGGGGGGATGTATGTAATTTCTGTGCGTGTGTCTGTGACAAATATGCTAAGAGGTAAGTGCTGAAGTTTAAATTTGACAAACATAAAATTGCATACCTATGAGGCGGAGGAGGAATAGGAGGCATCATGTAACCATGCATGCCAAATGGGTCATGAGCCATACCGTTTGCAAATGGGTCATGAGGCATACCATTTGCAAATGGGTCATGAGGCATACCATTTGCAAATGGGTCATGAGGCATACCATTTGCAAATGGCATGTCATAGGGGCCTAGACCATAACCCATCATATGCATTGGACCAGCATATGGTGCCATAAATCCATCCATACCAGGTTGGATGCCATTCCAGTATGGATTATAGCCAGGAGGTGGGCCCATTGGCATCATATAGTTCTCAGCTCCAAGATCATGTGGGGGTTTCCACTGAAAATCTGCATGATAAGCAAAGTTATTTGCAATTACTACCCAGGTAAAAATATTAGCATTTCCCTGGTCCACTAAATGCAACACTACAAATCCAAATCCATAATTTTTTTTACATGTACTGTGATAAATGTCATACAAAACAGTAGATTTACCATTTGCAGGCATCCGGACTTTCTTCTTTTTCTTTTTCTTTGCTGCAAAGTCAAAAAATCAAATAAGAACACCTCAACAGAAAATCAACAAACAAAATAAATTTTTGTTATTCAAGAAATAGCACTTTACTATCATCCATTTTCCACCAAATCATTTTCAAGAAATAGCACTTTACTACCATCCATTTTCCACCAAATAAATTTTTGTTATTCAAGAAGTAGCACTTTACACAGAAATAGGATGACATAAGCAGTAATCTACATTACCTGCCTCAGTAGGAACCAGCTTTTGCTGCACTTCTTCCTCAACCACCTGGGCACTCCCTTGTGACACTGGTTCCTTCACACTAGCCGATTCATGAGTAGCTTCAGATACATCACCGACTCTAGGGATCTTTACATGCTCTGACGTCTGCTGTGGAGCAGAAATGGCTTTTATTTCACCAGCTGTCTCCTGTATATTTGCTGTTCCATCATTAACAAGTGAAATCTTCAGTTCTCCCTTGGAGGCAGCAGATGACGTTGGAGAGGGATTCTTCGGATGTGGACAGCGGGCAGACTCCATATCTGAAAAAAACAAACTCAAATTAAAAAAAATGCATATGCAATAATTGATAGCCAGTGATGGTCCAAGAGAAAATCATTATAGTCTTAATAACCTTGAACTTGAAAAGTGCTCCCAGCATTTTCAGTACTGCTATTGCCTGACTCTAGTATCCGATTGATGGTATCCCTTAGTGTCTTATTCGGTAAAAGATCATCAGCAAGAATATTTGTTGCACCACAGACGCACCTGGACTTGGAGATAATATAGTCCCTAATACCTGAAAAGAATTTCCAGAATGATGTCACATAACTTCAGCTTAAGATTCCAGTCTGTAGAATAACTTCAGCATTACAACATCTAAAAAATATTTAGTATGAGATTCTAATTCTGAAAACCATAAATACTACAGAAGCATAAGCACATACATTTGTCACAGAAACTTTTAAAACAGCACTTGCTTGTCAACACAGCATCTTTCATAACATTGCTGCACAAGGGACAGTGGAGCTCAGGTGGTAGATCCCCAACAGAACGTGTAGATGGCATCCCTTCTATTTCTTTCTCAAAAGCAGCCCTGTTTGAAAGGAGAACATAAAACTCAACTTCATGTCTACATATAACAGAATTGACGAGAAGAATCAAAATAAACTCACTCATTTGGCTTCAAAACAGCTACTGAACCATTTGGTAAAGCATAGGAACCTTGTGGATTTACCATCAGCATAGATCTAGGAATACCAGTAGGTTGCTTGACTCTCTTGATGTCATAATTTGGATCACCATTAGTAGGGCAGTGTTGAATGAAATGTCCTACACAATTAAGAAAAAGTAAGCTATCCAAACTGGCATTAGTATCGGCATTTCGTAAGCAGGTGGAGAATTATAAAATTTTAAAAATAATGACATACCAGGCATCTTGCATCTGTGACATACATAGCCTTGTGGAGGTGTTTTTCGCTCCATCCCTGGGAAACCCCAGCAAGTAAATAACCATTAGCCATTAGTTCATCAGCATATTAATATTTGTATTCAAAGAAGCAAATCACAAAAAATATATAGAATATAATGAATGAAAGAGAATCACCAAAACCACGCCCACCGCCCATTCGGCCACCCATGCCCCTTCCAAAACCTCTACCAGGGCCAAAGTCTGAACTTTGACTGCATGAAAAAAAAGATAGAATCAACATAAACCATCAGAAATCCTAGAACATAAGATGGGATATAACTTGTTCCATCTAATATTTAGTTGACGAACTCATTCCATCTAATACCTCTAGTCCCTCGCCTCTAGAGATGTATGGGATATAACTTGTTCATTCTTTATGAACACATTTGGTTCACTTAGCAGACAAGAAGATTAAAGTTTTCCTCCATTTTATAAAATACCCGAACATAAGATGGTCATGTTGTCCCATCCGTGTCTCCTTGATTCCTTTCATTTCACCCGTCATTAGGTATTCTAACATAGCATAAGGTTGATAGGAAAAACGTGGAACAACTATTCCAATACAGGTCTTACAGAAATGAATAATCTTCATTTCCACTTGAAGAGATTTAGAGAGCGTACTCATTCTTGCAGGAAGGAAAGAGTTAATATTTATTTGGTTCCACATATCTATTGATTATACTATAATTCCATTTTAAGTTGATTCCATGCATGGACACTAAAGAAAGGAGAAAGGGGAATAATTTACTCACTGTTGCCAATCCAATGCTGGAGTATCAATCAATGCCTTAAGCTTACTTTCTTCATCAACTTTGCTTGTTGGAGGAGCCTCTGGAATCAAGTTGACCGATTGAACAGGAAGTTGATCGGGTATTGAATACAAATCATTACCAAATTCATCCCAATCTGAATCTTCAGGCTGCTAAGTGGTGTGGAGTGCTCAATTAGCGAAAAGAATGCAGCTGAATTGTTATTAAAAAACAAAATGAAAAGAAAAAGGGACTTACATATTTCATGGCAGACATATCATCAGCTGCTAAGCTACTGTTCCCATGATCAGTCTCCACCACCTTATTTTCCAAGTTTTGTCTGCCAAAAGCAAAATACAGCTGCTGACTCAAGAACACATACTTTATCTCACAAACACAAATGAACAATGTAGTTTCTGGCTGCGCCAGCATACATGGAGAACATGAACAGGAAATGACACACCGATGACTTTCCATTTTAACAACTTATAAAGACAAACCATGATCAATGGTAAAAACTCCAAAAACAGTTATAATAAGATTAAAGGTATGAGATAGTACTGTAGTTCGGTAACAATTGGTAAACGTGGCCGTCCTGGTACACGACGAATTAACACTGAGGTATTTTTAGGAACCAGCGTTTCTTCATCAAGGTATTCTGAAATTTCAAGAGACAGAGCAACTATAAAAATACTGTAAATGTGCTATTATATATAAATTCAGTAGAAAAGTTTGGCGCTTGTAATTAGTACACAACTATACTGCAGCCTTGCTTCACCTTACTTTAGGCCTCTTAATTGTTAGTTTTTTTCTCTTCATTTATTTTTTTTTTACCTGGGGCTGTGGAGAGTGATATTCAAATCAAACCTGTCTCAGTTAATGACAGATGGGATTGGTTTAAATTTGTACTTTGAAAGGAACAGGATAAATAAGGTAAGTTTATCCAGTAAGCCCATCTTCAAAGTTAAATTTGATTTTTATTTTTTAAATTAAGCACCAAATTAAAACCCTGAAACTCACTCACTCACTCACACTATCGCCCCAGAACACTAGTTCAAAATAACAGTTCAACTAAAATCAGAACCAACCTTCATTGGTCTGGGCGTTGGTGACCAGAAGATCAAAATCTGTACCTCTCCCTAAATGCTTGGATTCAAATATTTTTTCTTTCAAAGTACCAACAGATATGAAAGGACCATCCATGGGAATTGAATCATAATCTCTTGCACTTTTAAATTTATAATACACCGCCATGGTATATTTCTCTTTCAATCTATAAAAGAAGATTAATTTACCAAAGCAATAACAAAACACAAAGAGAATCAAAGGGCCTCTGAAAATTTAAAAATAATAATAATAATAGAAAGCCCTGTTATTGAAACTCAAAACAAATCAAACAGTACAATAAACTCAAGCTTATTTTTTTTTCTTCTCTTTCTTTTTTTTCCTACACTTGCAAATTATACTAAGGTAAAGATCGAACAAATCGAACCAATAGCCACAACGATGAGATTCACTTATAGAATTCCTCAACAGTTTTCTGCAACTTCGTCTTCGAATCTAGAGAAATCAAATTCCTTGTACAACCAAAAGAAATCTTCTTCTTCTTCGGAACAGACGAATCCGAATCCGAATCCAAATCCGGTGAAGCAAAGCCCTATGAAATCAGAAACTTCGAGAAGCCATAGCAACAGTAACTAGGGTTTGTTGTGGAATCGAAATGAACCGAAAAGGAATAACAATAAGATTTGTTTGTTCCTTCTGTAATCAAATCCAACACAATCAAACACTACGAGCCAGTGAGCGGTTGTTCTGATTCTGATTCAGATTCAGATTGAGCCTCCTTGAACGGCGGCGACGGAGCCTTCAAATGAGAGTCACGAGCATCTTCTCCTTGATCTTCTAGTGTTGTAGTAGCGGAAAATCTGAATTGATTTCTGATAACGGATAAGCGGATCGAGAAACCGTTACGGAGAATTGGAGGAATTTCGGATGAGTAAAAAGGGGCTAGGGTTGGGAAAGTTAGGGTGAGAGAAGCAGAGGAGTGGGAAAAGAGAGAATGGTGAATTATGGAACTCACGAGACGAGGGGTGTTGTGGATTTTGTGGATTTGGAATCCACTGAAATAATTAAATCATTTTTCATTGATAGCTTGTTAGTGATTGGATATTAAACTAACGGTTTAGATTTGCTTCAATGGGTGCAGGTAATCCTGATCTGTGGTTTGCTTAAATTTAATAAAGGACTTTTTTAATCTTATAAAAGATATTTCATTTGGATTGTGTGGTTTTAAATTTTTAAAGTAAAATGAACTTTAATTATTAAAACTGTTTTATTAATTGTAATATGTAGGTTAACTAAAAATATTAAATACAATTAATTATCGTCTAAAAATTGGTACAATAAAAAAATGTTTGTTTATAGTAAGTAATTGATTCTAATTTTTTTTTTAGCATTTTAAGATTATGTTTGTTAAGACAAGTTTTGAGCTTTTTAGCTTATATCTTATAACTTATAAGTTAATATGACAATAAAAAATTTATTTGATAATAATTTTTTCATCACGAGTTTATAGCTTACTCCCTCCGATTATAATTATAAGTTAAAATAATTATTTTCACACCGATTAAAAAAATTAGTTAAGTGTAATTAATTTTTCTGATTTCATATACAATCAAAGTAAAGTTTATTATAGTATCCTTAGTTATATTTGATGAATCAACTATCAATATTAAATATTTTTTAATTAAATTAAGGCACAATACTCATTTTGGTCTCTTAACTATAGGTTATGGTCCACTTTGGTCTCTTATCTTTTTTTTTTTTGCCAAAATGGTCCCTTAAGTTTCAAAACGCAACCACGTTAGTCCTTCCGTTAATTGGTCTTCAACGTCCATTTATTTGCGTGAGGTGGCGGGTGAGCTGGCAGATTTATTCATCTTCTTTATATGCAGAAAGCGTATTTCACAGTGATTCAAAATCTCCTTCACAAAATTTTGTTACCGTTCTCCTTCCCAAATTTTTTTGTACCTTCTTCATCTTCTTTCCTTTCTCCATGAGTACGAAGCATTCATCTTCCCCAAAGAATCTCTATCAATCTGAAAGTGTTAGGTCATGTGTATACAGTAGCTCACGGATTGCATCATTTTATCGTTGCGGAGACAACGTTGTTCTTCGTAGGGCAACCACTAAGAAGAATTATGGAAAGAAATTTTGGGGTTGTCACAATTACAAGGTAATCCCTAATTATGGTTTGGGTATGTTAGAAGATCGTAAACAGAGTTTGATCAATTTGTGAAATTTGTCGGGCTCCTTGCAAAGAGGATGTGGTTTATTCCATTGGTGTCACGAGGAATTGGTAGAAGACATAAACCAAGTATTGAGTAATAGATTGGAAAGCATAGCAAAGGATTTAGATGAAACTGTTGATATGTATATATATAGAGTATTAAGAATATTTGTATGAAGAATAGTCTCACATCGACTATATCATAGCATTAGTTATGATCTCTCTATATATAATAAAGTCTTCATTGTGCTTTTTAAAATACACAGTTTAACTTAAATGTCTCTTAGTCTCTCCTAATTCAATATGGTATCTAAAGCCTACTAAGAGGAAATTCTTCGTCGTGTTTTACTCGGTTGACCCACTGTCTTCCGGTGACAATTTTTTTTTTTGCAAATCGTGTCATCACTCCGGTTTGCCTCCCACTTTCTAAAATTCTCCGGTAACCACTGAACTGCTTCCGCCATCCGCTGCTACTAATTTCGGTGACCTTCCGGTAAAAACGCCTCCTTCGATCTGGCCGATTCCGACGATTTTAACACCACCGCACTCGCCACCGTGCAACTTTTCCAAATCCGATACTCATGGCTACTCCTCAGAACTTTACGCCAAACTACGATGATTTTCTCAAGTGGTATCGGAATTATCAGAACTCAGATTTTACTGCTTTGGTTGCACACACTGGTAATTCATTTGTTTGCTTCTCTCAATCATCTTCTCTTGGATCTTGGATCCTTGATTCTGGTGCGTCTGATCATGTTACTGGTAATAAAAATCTTTTCTCTTCCCTCTCTACCTCTGGTTTCTTACCTACAATAACATCTGCCAATAGTTCTCAAACCCGATCCGAAGGAATTGGTACTGTTTAAATTCTATCTTCTCTCTCTGTTACTTCTGTTCTCTATGTACCTAATTGTCCATTTAATTTACTTTTAGTCAGTTGCTTAAGTCGTTCTCTTGATTGTATTGTCACCTTCACTAATAGTAATGTCACCCTGCAGGATCGGAATTCGGGACAGACAATTGGTGTCGGATGTGAGTCTCAAGGTCTTTGTTACCTCTCAGTGTCATCTCATACATGCTCAGCCAAAGATTCTCCACTCACAATCCATGCTCAGTTAGGTGATGACACACAAATATGTGATATTTCTGGCTTGATATACACCAAATATTTCTCATACTTTAGTTTAAATTAAATTATTTTATAAGTATTATGCAGGTATTTTTCTATTTTTGCAGATATGCATTAAGCTGAACACTTTGGAAGAAATGAAGAAAAAAGAGGTGTAAAACTAGCAAAAAGGTCAAAGGAGAAGAAATGAGCTAAAGCCCATTATACATGTGAGCACGTGGCCCACAATAAAGAAGACCTTGACGACCGTCAAGGAGGCATGCCGAACGTCACGCGCCAAGAAAGACCAAGTGACTATCGTCACTTGAATGTGACGAACGTCACAAGCCACTTACTCCACTTTCTTCTCATCCAACGGACAGAAACGCATTTAAGGGTTAATCCAGTGACTACCTGCATTTTCTCACCCACTCAGTCAAAGTACCAAGGAACGTGACATATTAATGGCCCTATTATTTCTCAAAGAAGGAAGTAAATTGTTCCTACATTCTCGAGAACAACTGATCACGCAAGACTTATAAATAGAGCCTTAGACCACAGTAGAAAGGGTTCTTCTTTTTTGGCAAGAAACTTTAGAGATTTTATATTGAGCGAATATTCTCTTCAGCATTGTTTTATTTTCCCAGCTATTTCTATATTCCTTTCCAGCATTATTTTCTTCTGTACGGTTAAATATATTCTCCGATCGAAGCAAAGCCTACAATTTGTGCAGGAGTGCTTCTGTCTTCAGAGTTATTACCAGGTTTATGTTTACAAATTCTTATTGCTTTTTAATCAATATAATTATGTTTATTTTTGTTTGTTCCTTAAATTATTCTGCGATTTGGTTTAATATTATGTTAGGCTAGAAATCCTATACCGGTATGTAAAGTCACTCAACCAAGGGAACGAGTAACTTAGTTGGGATTATTTTTACTACGAAACTTTCTTTTCTGGCCTAAGTTACTATTTTTCAATTGTTAAATTGTTTTGTTACGGAAGTAAAAAACAGATAGAGGTTAGGGTCAACAAAGCGGAAGTTTGAGATCTTTTAATTGGACAGTAGTAATTAGGCATTGGCTTAAAATACAGCGGAAGCACTTTAAAGTTAATTAAGATTTTATTTAGTTTTCAAAAAGTGTTTTTAACTCCTGCGGGATGGTGGAAGCGTACGTTAGGACTTAACTGCATAGCCTAGACCAACAAAACGACTGTGTGAGACGAGGGTTTTTAAAAATAAGTTTTACTGAAAGCTGTTTTGAAAATATAAAGATGCCCAACAGGCCGCTAGTTCTCGAGGTACGACTATTGCATATTGGTAATTAAGCTCATTGATTATTAAAAATCCAACTCAATTTAGTATTTAGTTTTCCTTACAACCCAATCAAATATTCATCAGCTTTAGATTTGCAAAGTAACAATAGAAGACGGTAGATCAATTCATCAGTCTCTGTGGTTCGATATCTTTTAAAACTACACGATAAGACTGTGCACTTGCAGTCCGAATCATTGGATACGTAAGTATAATCCCGATCAAGTTTTTGGCGTCGTTGCCGGGGACTGATTTAAGTCGATATCGCTACTCTTTTGTTATGCAGTAGAGACTAGAGCAAAAACTTCTCTCTTTCTTCTCTATTTCTTTTCTTTTCTTTTCTTATTTGTATGCCAAACACTCGTTCGTAAGGCGAGTCGTTATACATACAAATCAACGATATCGAGCGTTATCTCAGACTTAGACGCCGCATTCAAGAGTATCATCTCTTGCATAACACTCAACCTCGTCAATCACTCGAACCTCCTATTTCTCGACCAACCAAAGAAATGGCTGCGAATCCTGCTCCGCGCCCACTCAAATCCTATGCCATTCACTCACAAGATGAACCACACAATAGCATTGTTGCCCTTCCAATCGAGGCTAACAACTTTGAACTGAAACCCTCTTTGTTATCTGATGTGCAATAGAACCAGTTCCCTGGTGGGTCAATGGAAGATCCTAATCTTCATCTATCAATATTTCTACAGTACGCAGATACAATCAAGAGCAATGGGGTCAGTCAAGAGGCAATAAGACTTCGTCTCTTCCCTTTCTCTCTAAGAGACAGAGCAAGAGCTTGGCTCCAATCTCTACCCGCAAACTCAGTCACTACATGGTACGAGCTGAAGAAAGTCTTTCTTGCAAGGTATTTTCCGCCAAGCAAAACAGCTATGCTAAGATCTCAGATAAGCGATTTTAGACAAAAGGAAAACGAATCCCTTTTCGATGCTTGGGAAAGATACAAAGATCTAATGAGACTATGCCCACATCATGGCTTGGAAGAATGGTTGATTATCCACACCTTCTATAATGGTCTCCTTTACAATACAAGATTAACAATAGACGCTGCCGCAGGTGGTGCACTTATGGACAAATCCTACACCGCTGCCTATGCTCTAATAGAAAGTATGGCCCAAAACCACTATCAGTGAGGAAGTGAAAGAGGACACGCAGACAAAGGTACTACAGAGAAAGCACTGACAAAAGGAGGCATGTATGAGATAAGCTACCTAGACAGTGTCCATGCTAAGGTAGATGCCCTCACCCTAAAGATAGATAATTTGACCGCAATACCTCCAGCCACCGTGGCTGCTATGACTCCTAATTGCGAAATATGCGGAGTACCTGGACATCTAGTTACTGAATGTAAGATCTTGGCAGGAACTCCAGCTGACCAAGTGAATTATGCTCAAGGAAACCCTTACTCAAACACGTACAACCCTGGATGGAAAAATCACCCAAATCTCTCATATAAAAACCCCAATGAGTTGTATGCTCCAAACCAAGCACCTGCCGTACCACCTGGATATCAGAAAGCTCCTGCAAATGCTCCTAGTGCACCTAGAAAATCAAACTTAGAACTGATGATGGAGAACTTGATAGCTACCCAAGCGCAAACAAACAAAGAAGTCCAAAATCAGAACATACACACTAATGAGCAGATAAAACAATTAGCAAACAAAATAGATGCTTTGGCCACCCACAATAAAATGTTAGAAACCCAAATCTCTCAAGTGGCTCAACAAAAAGCACCTACAGCTGCACTGGCTAATACATTTCCCGGTCAACCACAACCTAACCCGAAAGGGCATGCTCATGCCATCATATTAAGGAGTGGAACCGAGTTATATGGACCGCCCGACCCCAGACTGTCAAATCAAAGTATGTATCAAAGGGCTGAAACATCAACTGAGAAGGAGAATTAACCAGAGAAACCAGAGGTAGACGAAGAAGATAAAGGAGGAGAGGCCAAAGAAAAAGAAAAAGAAAAACCTTATGTGCCTCCACCGCCTTATAAACCCCAGATCCCATTTCCTGGTAGATTAGCCAAACCTAAGAATGTAGGGCAATTTAAAAAATTCGTAGAACTTCTGAAACAACTTAATATAACAATTCCTTTCACAGAATCTATAACTCAAATGCCCTCCTATGCCAAATTCCTCAAGGAAATCTTATCTAACAAGAAAAAGCTAGAAGATAACGAAACAGTAACGCTTACAGCAGAATGTAGCACAATTATCCAAAACAAGATGCCTCATAAGCTGAAAGACCCTGAAAGTTTCTCTATACCATGCCATATAGGTAAGTTTGTCATAGACAAAGCCCTATGTGATTTAGGAGCTAGTATTAGTGTTATGCCTTT